AAGAAGGAGCGTTTTTGTTTTATCCATAACTTAGTTGCTTGTAAGTTCACATTTGTTCTGTTTAAGGCGTTCCACCCGGTAGAAAGGTTTGATTTAGTTTGTTTATCTCATTCCCGCATTCTACCATCCATCTTCCTCCTCCTCCTCCCTGCAGGACAAAAAGTAGTGAAACACTAGTGGCTGTACGATTGTTCCATATCATTCATCACAGGATAAGCATTGGAGATGTCAGGTAAACTATGGTGATGTAAGGGCGTGAAATTAGCCAATTTTCTCGAAGTCATTAATTGCCCCTCTACTTCCCTTTCACCTCCAAAAGTACCTTATTTTGCATTATCCTTCAGTGCGCCGTCTCCGCACTTTATGAAAGGCATTTAACTCCTCAAAGAGAAAAAAACTCTTTCCGCTTGTTGTTCAGGCATTTTTAATAAATAAATACGAAGTTCACAAGAAGATAGTAAAGGTTAGACCGCTTTAAGAGAAGGGTTGCAAGTAGAGGGAGGGTGAGGGGGTAGTGAACTGGATACTGAACTATGTCCATTAGAGGGTGCATGACTGAGGGATTCCTTCCGCATTGCTTCTGCAGCAGCTCGAACATCAATCACAGTTCGGCAGGGTTCTACAGCCAAGCATTAACCGTGTTTAAAAGTCACTTTAGTTCCTCCTTTTACCCACCTCCATCCCCAGCCTAATTTTGGATCTACTTGGCTCAGTGAGGCTGCATTCCTCCACTTCTGGCTTTTACTGCCTTTACCCAGAAATTTGTCTTCATGCTAAAGGCGCTGGCTGTTTTTTAGCCATTAGATACACTCGATTGTCAGTGGCGTTGGAAAAAATAGGTGCTATTCTTGAGAATCATAAATGCGCCTTGTTTTAGTGCATTCGCCCTTGTGTTAAGCAAACAAGTGTATATCTCACCTGTTGAGGCTGGTTTTGTGCTTTGCTGACCCATGTTAGTGTCAGAGGGATCCATTCCCATGAGTAGAGCGAGAGCTTTGAAGGATCGTGATGGAATATGTCCGCCCATGTAACGCAATCCAGTCATTCCATTACCTTCTTCCTTCTGCGCGTCCACTGACTCCCCTGATTGTTGTAGTGGTTGAGGAATGAAAGCAGAGCCTGAACGACGATCACTGTTGCAGATATCTACAGATGCTGCCCGTTGCAGTCGAAGATTCTCCATTTGATTTAATGTCAACTCACGAGACTGTTTGCGCTGGCTGTGAATACGTTCAAATTCATCTCGACAGTTTGGTAGGTTGGTCGGCATTTCCACGCAAGCATTACTTCCACGACGTTCCAATGTTGTGGACATTTCGCTATTTCTGCGATATTGTCGATCTTTTTGAAGAAGGGAAAAGGCTAGAAATTTTGATGGCCATTTGCTCAAAACCTCCGGTCTAATTATTTAAATACTCACTAAAACTGCTCGGTCCAACTGATCCTCGGCCATACTCTCGCCCGAAAAGCAATGATTTGGGGTCGCTTGTAACGGCTCTAATATTTAGTGATTCAAAAGCGGACAAGACTTACGGAGTAACCTCAAGAGCAACGACCTCATCATCGATATTGAGCAAGTCGGTTATATCCTCCCTTTTTAGACCCAGAACAGATTGTCCGTTGATGGTTTTTATCACTTGACCGCTGCGCAAATGCCCATAAGCAGGACTTTCACTCATAACCTAAGTGTGCGCCGAAAAAGTTATCATTAAACGCCTTCAATTTACATTTGAATAAATTCGGCGGTAGCAAAGTAGTTCAACCATAAACATAGCCCCTTGGACTAGAGTCGATTACTCATCAGTTGTGATCGCCATGTTATTAGTGAGGCTCACTAGGCTAGCCAAAAACAGATAGTCATATTTATCATAACTATCGGTAGTAATAGGACTAAGTGGTATTGT